TCTTTGCGCCTCTTGTGTTTGTTGTAATGCTTCATTGAGTACTGTGTATTTATGTACTGCTTAATTACACTCTTATCATCTTCCATTACTCCTTTTTTCTCTCTTTGTAATTGATAGTCTTATACAATTGATATGACATGTGAAATCAACAATCAATAATACACCACCTCGTGATATCTTAGTGGTAACAAAATCTTTCAGCCTCAGTCTGTCCCACGCCTAAATAGGAGGGAGGGGGGTTTAGTTCAATAATTCTTGCCCAATCTTCAGATTTTATCAAATAAACAGTGTTACATCTCTTACTAACTGATAACATACATTTGTATTTAATTTCATATCGACTGTTTGAAGTTAATACCATATTACCATGACACGTTAATTGTGTTTTCTTTAACTCATAACATACATTTTGGAATCCAACAAAAATTACTTCTAGAAATTTTAAATCCCGAAATCAAAAGTTTCAGTGGGAGCCGCGAGAGAGAGAGGGAAATGGGGTTTTGGTCAATGATATCAGAATTGGATCGGCCATCGAATCGGTAAGAGGATCGGATCAATGGTTCATTGGTTCAATTGTTAGATCAACTGATCGGACCGATCATATAATAAAAAAATAAAAATTATATATACAGTAATTACAAAATATAATAATTTAGCTAAAAAATATAAAATATATTTGCAATGCATACACATAATATTCACAATCTCAATATCACAATCCCACAAAACTAAATGTTTGCTACATAAATATATTTAATATGAGATACGGTACAATAGGATACGGATATGAGATACGGTACGATAGGATACGGATATGAGATACGGTACGATAGGATACGGATATGACGATACGATCAAATCAAAAAAAGTAAGATACGTGTACGATCAGGATACAGCTATAATAAAATATATTTAATATTTTTATTATTTTCAACCAACTTAACACTTATATATTTTGGTAGTTCTTTAACATATAATAAAAAAAATTAATAATTCTTTTTAGTTTCAAGAAAATATACATTGTGTCGTTGTGGTATATTCACAAAGTGAATGGACTAATTAAAAGAATCAAATCTAATATTCACCTAGTATTTAGAAGTAATTTTTGTTAAGATTATAATGTAATAGCTTTTGATAATGCACAAATTAGTTTGCACACCACTAGTCAAGTTATAGTATAAAATGCAGTAAGTAGAAAGGGAGAGAAGACAAGATTTATAGTGGTTCGGTCAATACGACTTACGTCTACTTTGAATGGCTAGGTTCGCCGGAATTTTATTATCTCCGGTGTGGAAGGAGAACACATGATTACAAGCTTTGAGAGGGGATGAAAGAATCATGCTCAAATAATTCTGATGCCCCCCAAGTGTTGGGGGAACTTACAATTTATAGTGGCTTGGTATAGTAATTGTATGACTAGTCTGACAGTTATAATGGCTTAAGACCGTTTGATAGTAATTAGGTAGCTGATTTGACGGAGACGACTTATCATCTTCTCAACGGGTGAGGTGTGACAGTTGATGTGCTCTCCAAAGGACTTGTTCAAGGATGAGGGAGATTGACTCTTTCCAGGCTACGAGGTGAGGCTCCTGGATGCTCCCTTGGTAGCGTAGAGACTCTTGGATGACCTTTTATTCTAAGGTGGTAGATGAGATTCTTGGATGACTATGCATGCTCCTCTGCAGCTCCTTGATCTTGATAAGATTATCCGGGTGTAGACTCATTTGGGCTTGACTAGTTGGATCTCTTCATATTGGGCCTTTAGCTCGAACCAGACTTATAACATGGGTTGTGCCTTTGGGCCTGACCCATCATTTGCCCCCAATGCCCTGCGTCCAACAAAACTTGGAAATGAGGGCATTTAAGTTGAATTTGAATTTTCGGCTGACCGACATAACTAAAACAACTTCAGGAAGCCAAAACATCCGTTTATAGGTCTTTTTTGGACTTTCAACAGCATCAATCATAGTCTTTGGCTATGAATCTTGTAGGGTTCGTTGAAAGCTTCGATTTGATATATTATAAGCCTCATTTCAAGCAACAGAGCAAAAGTTACGGTCAAAACCTCGAGCCGGAGGTGGGTGCATGTTTTAGGTGAACATGCCACTTCTGGGGGGGCACATACTTTGTTGGGTGAGCAGAAAACCTCTTGGGCGAGCTGATTTTTTTTTTTTAAAAAAAAAAACTTCGAGAGGTCAAAACACATTTTTCTTGCCATTTTTGGACTTTTTTTGAAAAGCTCATTACCAAAGGTAATGAGTTTTGCTCAGCTCGTCGAGAGTTTCGATTTGGTATATAATATGTCTCATTTTGAGTTACAAAACAAAATTTACAGTCAAAATAGCGAGCAAAGAGTTGTGCGTGCATTTTTTGGGCGAGCAAAGAGCTCCTAGGAGAGCAGGCAGCATCCTGGGCGAGCAGCAATTTTTTTTTTTTTTAAACTTCAGGAGGCCAAAACACCTCTTTCTGAACGTTTTTTGGACTTTGTTTGGAAAGCTCAATACCATAGGTAATGTATATAATAAGCCTCATTTTGAGTTACGGACCAAAAATTACGATCAAAATAGCGAGCAGGGAGCTAGGGGCGTATTTTTGGGCGAACAGCCAGCTTTTGGGTGAGTAGGCCATCTCCTTGGCGAGCAAGCCACCTCCTGGGCAATTTTTTTTTTTTTCAAAAAATGTCGAATGGTGGAGATCATGTGCTAAGGTCTGCAAATCTTGGTGTGCAACTTGAAAATGTTGGTGTGTCCCCTGGAGAAGAGATGAAGGTGCATGGCCTGTAGGACTGGCTACTGGGTGAAGGCTGGGCACCCATGTTGGCCAGGCAACGGAGGCCTTGGGTGAACGGGTTGCTTGTAAGGTTGGCGGTCTAGGCAGCCTTGGTGATCTGGGCGAGCAAACCAGGGAGGCTCCTGCTATGTTGGGCAATCCTTTAGGCGAGCAGAGCTTGGGCAATTATGCCTTGGGCGAGCAGGACTTGGGTGCAGGCTATAAGGAGAGGTGTTGGGCAGGTACTTCTGTTGGTCAGGGATTGGGCGTCGAGGCCCAGGTGCAGGGCACCTAGGCTGAGGCTACCCAGGTGAGCACGGAGCCCTTGAGCGAGTGGAGCAGCTCTGGGGAGTGCACCGATGGGCGCCTTGGTGCTGTTGTATGCACGAACTAGCTAGGCGAGCATCCTGCTGTGCAAGGCCGCTTGGGTGAACAACCTGCTATGCTTGGCATCNCTAGCTAGGCGAGCATCCTATTGTGCAAGGCCGCTTGGGTGAACAACCTGCTATGCTTGGCATCTTGGGCGAGCATGGGTATGCCTTAGTCGCTAATCCAGGCGAGTAAGGAAGAGGAAAGAGGATTGGTCTTGGTGTGCAGGCGCCATAGAGCACCATTTTGGGTGAGCACAAAGGGTTAGGTGCCCCTCCAGGCGCTGACAAAGGGGGTCAGGCACTTCTTGGCGTCGCTGGCTAGGCGTCTTAGGCTTTGAGTGCTAGATGGATGAGGCCCCGATTGTTGACATTCAATCTAAGGTAATCCCTCGGGTTGCAGACGACCTGAGTTTTAAGATCCTGACTAGAGATGATAAAAATAATGTTATTTCAAATATTAAAATATTTAACATGATTACCTGAAGAGAGAGGCAGGCTGCTTGCGCGAGAGCAAGATAGAGTTTGAGAATTGCTCATGAGAGAGCTAAATCTTTTGAGACCGAGTTTTTGGCGACCTATAAGAGAGTTTTTAAGTTTGAGGTCTAGGCTACTTGCTTGAGAGCAGAGCAGATGCCAAGCTTTTTTGGTGACTCGTGAGAGAGCCGGGAGATAGGCAGGTTGCTTGAGAACAGTGCAAAGGTCAAGCTTTTTTGGCGACCCGCAAGAGAGCCGCTAAGCTGGAGATATGCTACCTGTTTGAGAACAGTACAGAGGTAGGCAAGATTTTTGGCGACCCTTGAGAGAGCCGTTAAGCTGAATATAGACTACCTGTTTAAGAACAGTGTAGAGGTAGGTCAAGCTTTTTGACGACCCTCGAGAGAGCCGCTAAACTGGAGATAGACTACTTGCTTAAGAACAGTGTAGAGGTAGACCAAGCTTTTTGGCGATCCTCGAGAAATGATTCATCTCGCCTGGACCTGTTGATTTCCTCAGCATTCATAAATTTTTGAACTTTTGCCAATAATTCTGGCATGCTCTTTGGTGGGCGTTTCATCACGGAGAAAATGAAGCTCAATGACCGAAGGCCTCCCAAGAAGGCAGTCAGGCTGACTTTTTCATCGGGCTCTTCAACTTGAAGGACCTCCTCATTAAAACGAGTGAGGTAGCTTCGCAGGCTCTCATCTCGGTCCTGCTTTATGCTGAGCAGGTGGGTGGCAGGCTTCTTGTGACGGCATCTTCCAATAAAGTGCAACACGAAGGACCTGCTCAGCTCAACAAATGAGCCGATAGAAGCGGGGGTGATCTTGGCAAACCACTGTCGAGCGAATCCCTTCAAGGTGGTTGAGAACGCTCTGCACATTATTTCGTCAGGGACGTTGTGCAGTTGCATCAAGGTCTTAAAAGTTTCAAGGTGGTCCAATGGATCCTTCGTACCATCAAAGGTTTTGACGGATGACATCTTGAATTTTGAGGGAGTGGGTAGTTCGCCACGTCAAATTTGAAAGGTGTGTCAGTTCGACTTACAAGGTAATCTACTATCTCGGGTCCTCGTGCCTTCATGGCGTTGAAGACATCACCCAATTGATTCTGCACCTCCTTAATTTTTTCGTCCCAATGATTAGGAGGAAGTCCCTTGGAATTACTATGGATATGGCTCCCATACTCCAAGCTTTGGTTTTTACCCTCGTCCTCTTGGAAACAAGGGTTTCCACCATGAAAAGAGGGAGCTAGAAGAGGAGTTGGAGGTCCCTTGTGGGGAGCTCCCCTGTGTGGGGCGCCTGAGGGGACTCCAAAGGGGCCGCTCAGATAAGGAACACCCATGTGGGGAGCTCCTTGACGCCTAGGGCATGGAGCTCCTAT